CGTTCGGGTCATCCTCCTCCATGCTCTCATTCTCCACAAGAACCTTCTGCAACAGTTCACGTCGCTCCGATACATCTGCGAACGCTAGTCCGGGGGTCTTTTCGATGTTTGCTAATTGTGTAATGACCTTAAAAGCATATCCCTGATCAACGAGGAAAGCTTGACGTTTGGAAGAAAAGTACATTTCTTGGGTGTCTTTTGACACCAGAGAGTAGAAAAAGGCATTGAAACCCTCGTCATTACGCCTTTTGGCCCTAAGAATTCGTCCTAAACGCTGCGCTTCCTGGCGACGTGAACCGTAGTGGGATGAAATTTGGATGAGGCAGGTAGCCTCGGGCAAATCGAGGGACGTGTCTCCAATCTTCGATAAAAAGAGCGTGTTGACATTCGGGTTGTGCTGAAAGTTCTCCAACACTTGCAGACGTTCTGCTTGACCAGTGCCACCATAGATGAATGCCTTTTGAAGCTTTAGCGCATATGCTTTGAGCGCATACACGTTATCTGAGAATACTATAATCTTGTCTCCTCTTGATTCGTGGTAATTGATGAGATATTGACAAGCCTGAAACTTCCGAGGGTTCATGATATAAAGCAGACCCTTCTTCCGGCTTGGTGCTTTGAGATACTGGTCGTAGAACTCTGTAGGCATTGGGCACCATACTTCTGCACACTGAACTCTAGCAATGTGTCCTTGCTTTGAAAGCTCCATCCAATTGGCTTCAAACAGCTTTGGTCCGATAAGAAAATTCAAGTCAGAAATCTTGTCGTCTTCTCTGAGAAGTGTAGCTGTGAGACCAAGCTTTGAATGAGTCTTGATCGAAGACGTGACTTTTCGGAAGATGTTGGCGGGCACAACGTGCACCTCGTCCAGCAACATCAGACCCCATTCTCGACCTGTCAAGAACCTCATCATCTTCTCTGCATCGTAAGATCGGGCCCGCGATTGTGTGACCATTGCATAGGTTGTGACAATGATCCCAGTGCTTCCGGTGAAGACGTTGTTCTTGGAATCGGATGTGAAGGCAACAATATCATCGGGATTAATGTTGGACCATTTCAAAAATTCATTCCTCCATTGCACAACGGACATTGAACTCGTGCATAGGACAATGACACCCTTCTTGATAGTACACGCTGCTGTAATGCCCACAAGTGTCTTTCCAGCACCACAGGGCAGGACGATTAGTCCACTCTTTGCTCGGCCGTTGCCAAACATCTTGCTTAAGCTTTTTTCCTGATAAGGCCGAATCTGAGTACCAGGCTTTAGATCGATATCCAAATTTGCGTTGGCTTCATCTCTCCGAAAGTCATACTCCTCCAGAACTGGGTATCCTAGATTCAGGCATTCTTTCTGTACCGTTTCGACATCCTTGTCTGCAATTTCAAAAGAATGTGTCACTTCCTGGTCCTCGTCGTCCTCCTCGTTGAGCGTGGCATAGACTTCACCCTCCTGGACGGGTTGTCCATCTTTGCTCTGTTCACCTGCTTGGCTGAGGCCATTGGCCTGCTTCACTCCGGCGGCATTCTGTGTTCCGGGAATGACAAGGCCGCCAATTTTAGGCGCAACTGATGTTGTGATCTCTTCCGTTCCTTGGACGCGTAGGGGACCGATTTTGGGATTCTTGAGGAGAGTCTGGAGCATGTTTGGATCAGGACTTTCGACATAGTACTTTGTATTCTTGAGAACCAGCTTCACCTTGCCGTAACTCTGAGTGCAACTTGTAATGAAATTTCGAATCTCATCTGGCAGAGGTGTCTTAAGGAATCGATCTAGTGTATTGATGATGTCCTCTGGCGACAACCCAACAGAGACGGCAGCGTACAGGCTGTGTGTTGTAAGGGCGTATTCGTGCATGAAAGTCGGTCGAGACAGGGGCTCAGAAATAGTGATGAGGAAATCCTGAGCCTGCTCCGCGAGTGGATTAAAACTCTCTAGAATGATGCGGCCTTTCTGAGGGTCTATCCAGAGAGGTCGATTTTGATGATCTTTCTTCAAGACCAGGTATGAGAAATCACGGTCGCCAAAGATGTGTGGTAGGGGATCCCGGATCGCATGTCTCTTCTGATACCGATCCAAAGAAAATATGTCTATATTCTTGTTCAAATCACGTTCCAAGGCCTCGTCGACGGGGCCCTCCTCCTCATCCGGCATATCCTCATTGCTATCGATCGTTCGTGGCGTTGCAGCTCCTGGTGTTGACATGCGCGAAGACCTTCCCACTTTCCCCCCACCTTGGACGGCAGCACCTGCTTTCCTCTTGGGCGGCATTTTTTGTTTTGAATATCCGGACCGGACAATCAGGGCGTGGTTGGCGGTGATCGTATAAATGGTGATGAAGGAAAGGAGAATGTTAAGGTCGAGCGCTGCTAAGAGCGTCACTGAATGATGATGACTAACCGAGGAACTCAAGTGGGTCCATGTTTATGGTGCCTGCCTGCCCGCTCTAAGGTAGTAAGCAATGGAAGGTACATACCTGCTAGCACCTGTGGCAAGGGGTCTTAAAGTGCATTCCGAAAGCCTGATTACCATAGGTACCCCACCAAAACTCTACCGACATTGATCTGAACTCAACCTGCAACTATTCTCAGACACGACAATTCAGCTAGGAACACTTCTTCCTACGACGCAGACTATATCACACAACCACACGGAATTACTTATAATTTGCTATCATGTGGTATGATATACCGCGACTCTATTCACTATCCTGCGACTAACCAATGTCTAGCAAGCACATTCTCAACGCCCAAGTTTCCGTTCGGTCGCCTTGTTGTACGTGCAAAGTTTATTGAAGCCAGTCTCCGCGGCTTTAAGTTGTTACCCGCTCAACTTACTAACTAACTTTAATTGTAGGTCGAAAATGGTTCGACTGTGTTGAATGTCACAGCGAACAGGAGTCACACCCTCTCAAGGAAAGCTTCGAGATGATTTTCGCGTGCAAGAAGTGCAAGAAGTGCTTTAGAAAGGATGTGAAGGAGTTCGAGGAGGCCGACGAGTTTTGCCCTCATTGCGACAACCATTTTGTTATCGACGCAAAGACCCCTCAAGCAGCTCTTTCGATTGAGAGCGACGACGTACGCATGGACAACAAGATGCTCAGGGACGACAGACAAAAGACAAGGGGACTCAGGTCCATCTTTGACCCGACAGAGGAAGCCGACAAGCTGGGATAATCCAGAACAAGATCAGATAAAAAGAGGACAGTCATGGCGTTTAGGATACATAGCGATTTGCCACTTCCACGGGGATACGTTCTGAGAGAACTTAGGCGTGCATCATTAGTTGTGTTGATACAATGGCACTAGGTCCCGACTTCGGAGACTCGTGCTCTTGTCTATGTAAACTCTTCCCATACGCCTCTCTATTCCGCAGCGGAGTCATCCTGAGATCGAGTCAGGATGGCAGCACTGCCGGTTCCAGGGGTCCGTCCCGTCTTCTTCTTAGCAGCTTCTTCCTGCTTCTCCTGCTCAATTTCCTTGACGTAGCCTTCAATCTCGGACGTAGGTAGTGTTTCGATGGTGGCGCCAGGTGCCATGAGAGAAATCTCGATGTTCTTGGCTCCAGTCTGAACAACCTCGAGCAGCGACTTGATGGCAAGCCGGATGGTAGCCTCTCGGTCCATGTCCTCCTTGTAGTTTCGCTCGAGAAACTCACGAACAGTCTTGCTTGAACGGCCGATAGCGTTTGCCTTCCTGTTAGATCATCAGTTTCGAAACTTGGCCTAACATTTTTATCATTTTGAATGACGCACCAGGCAGAGTAGATGCCGGAGGGCTCAGTCTGGTACAGCCGAGGGACATCGCTGCCGTTATCGAACCCAACAATCAGAGTGCTAATGCCAAATGGTCGGACGCCACCAGCCTGTGTGTACCGTTGCTGGACGCCAGCGACATATTTGGTAATGTAGTCGATAGTAACAGGGTCTTCAACTGACAAACGATGGGACTGTGCCTCTAATCGAGCCTTGTCGACGAGGATACGAGCATCCGCATTTAGGCCAGCGAAGGCGAGGGCGACGTGGTGATCGAGGAGCTGGATCTTGGAAGGGGTGATGCGAGTATCTTGCAGCTTCATGGCGGAGCGCTTCTCACATCCTAGCACCACAACATCGGCACCCTTGACACCGACAGCACAAGTTCCTATTGAAGGTATAAGCCACCGCAACAAAGTTGTTAACCCAAACCTGAGATTTACCTCGCTTGACAGCTTCGCCGGCATATTCGACCTGAAAAACGTGGCCGTCGGGACTATTGAGATGTTAGGAAGCTTGTCGTGAGTGTTGTTATGGTACTGACCTGAATACTGCACTTATTGTTAGCGATGGATATATCATTGAACACGGGCCCGTTGTGTGAACTCACCCGACAGAGCTCTGTCGTAGCCGGATGCCATGGTTTCGGATTAAAGAAGAGTTGTTGCGAAATCGCTATGTTTGGGACTATACAGGGTGTTTTTTTGGTGTATGAAGGCGAATCGTGGAGTCGTTGCGAGGCTCAAGGAGTGTTGACGTTGTATTGGGGTGCTCAGCTTCGTCAGAACGGCAGCCTGCCTGGTACCTATGGAAGGCTGAGAGCTGTAGCTCCCCAGTTGGTAACGGGCCGGAAAAACACCGTCGCGTTTTCCATAGTGGGCACGGACCTCTAAATTGCTGCTGGCTCTCCTCTACATGCTTATAGCGACTTCATATCCGCACAAGCAATCAAGTGCCCCGGGAAATAATTTATCACATCATGGCTTCATAAACTCCGCTTAGTGCTTACATACTGAAATCCACTACCATAGCCTCATTGATTCAGCTTTGTAGCTTTGCAGTTTTGTAGTCTCGCAGTCCGTATATGTCTCTCAGATCCCTACGTCAACTATGTGCGAAGCTGGCTGTTGACAAATGAAAAGAATGGATTTGACATTCTCATGAGGCCAGGAAAATATACAGGAAAACGGGACAAGGTAACCGCATCACTGATGTTTGTGAACAAGAGACATATCAATTACCCCGAGGTTAGAAAGTCGCTACCTCGGACCATGTTTGACTCTGCAGAACACCGGCAACATGTTGGCCTTTCTCAATGAGCCGTGACCGAAAGTTGTCGATCCACATGATCTCCATGAGTCCATCCTGCGAAACCGAATTTATATCTCTGTAAAAGTCCATTGCCACGGTCATCGGCATAATCAGCATGTCAGGTTGAACAGTGTCATGCAAGACTGAATCGAGTCCACGGCAGATATCTGCCGCAAACATGCGTCCATGCTGATAGCGATTGAGGTCGATCTGCAAGTCGAATGGCAAGTCAGGCCACATATTTGGGTAAGCGTCGATGACTGGCTGGTAGATGGCTCGGTGCAAGCTTTCAATGCATTGGTGAAAGAGGATTTGTGTCATCCAGTAATTTAGGAAGGCAAGTCCGGTGTTTGCGTCCCTGAAAGCGTACGAATTTGTGAAAGGAATAAGACCTCCGGGGCTGATGAGCTCCTCAGTCCAGTAGGCCACGGGCTGTTCAAAACTGGGACGGTTGGCCATTTGAAACCAAGCATCAAGATGTCTCTCGAGAGAAAGGCAATCCCGGAGAAGCTGCTGAGCGCTGTGCCGTCGATGGAGGGTTGGTTCTGACGGGACAATCTGATCAACTTGAGAAAGGATGGCTGGCAGCAGAAGGACTAGGTCCAGGAGATGGTCCAGGAGAGACTTCGGATGTCTCTGCCATGGGACAGTCTTCCAATCTGGAGATGATACAAACGTATCTTGTCGCCTCAGGAGAGCGAAGCCGGTCTATCTTGCACTCAGCAAAACGAAATAACCATGGATCGTTGGACGTTACTTACAGCTAGAGGTCGATACACCCGCACAAAGAAATGATGATTGGGGAAATGACTAAAGTAGGCCGGTCCCATTCGTCTCATCCGTTGAGACCCTGATTCGCCAAATACATAAGCTGTTTCATGCTAGCTAATTGTTAGCAGTCATTTGAAATCAGTGAGAGCATTGCACAAACCTCGAAGAAGAAGATGCAGTAACTTTGTGCCGAGTCATCTTGTTCATATACGCTCGGTAAACGTGCTAAGCATTGTGCTCTTACTCCAAGTTCTCCTTCGCCCAGTAACGACTGTAAGTCTGTCGGCGTATATGGCGGGAAGGTAATGCGGAAAGGTGTGGAGTCATCAGCTGAATGATCTGGAATAGTGTATGGAAGCCTAGTGTGCAAGGCTGAGACGAGAACCGAATACTCTACTCCTTGGTTTGAAACAAGTGTGTGGTCATCCCAGGCTGAGGTGAGAGGATGGACTGGCGTGATACCGAGAGTTCTGGAAGGTTCCTCGTACAGAGGCGAGCTCCCCTTCTTGGAGGATGAGCCTTTCTTTGGATGGGAGGCTACTCTGCCTTTGTTCTGTGGCGTCCCGGTGATGAAGACTCGTTCGCGTTCATAGCCTTCACATTGCCTTCCACTCGATACACACTTCTGGCAGTAAGGCCTCTCGTTGCTGCACTGTTCGAGAATGTGAACTTGGATGGCAGAGTTGCGATGAGATGCTAGAGACTTACCTTGACTCTTCTACGCCGGCAAGTTTCGCAGCCTTTGTATTTCCCAGGGACGCCAACCATATTTATCTTGGTGAGGAGGTTGAGTTGCAGGATGTCATCTTCACAAGTTGTGTTCGGGGCAGCTTCTAATATAACGAAGGAACTATGGGACAGCCAGGATTTCGGCTACCCCGTCTACGATGCTGCACCTAAACTGTCACCGGCATCTGTTGCAATGAGGCATCCTGTCAACTGTCTATCACCCCACACATTGCGGAAGTCCAGCTTGCACATACCTAGTCACTAGAGCCACCTCGACGGGAAGATGTAAAGATGGCTCCTTTCATGGTAATCACCTGGTGAAGTTTCGTCGCGGTAATGAGGGCCACCATGTACGACGAATAAGGAGTGTTAAGAGCTCTCGTTCGACCTGATCTAGTTGGCGACGGCCGCTCACAACACAACATCCACCGGGTGCAAAGCCCTCAAGGGCCATGGCTCGGCACATGCTAGGTATGACGAAACAGTCCAATTGGAATCGATTGGGGCCAGCGACGTCAACGGTCAGGGACCCACGACAGGGACTTTGGACTGAGATAGGAATATGCGAACGAGCGAGTCTTCACTTACAGGGAACTTTTGGCCTAGCGCATCGGCTTCCTGTGGAGAAGCTGCAGCGTCCGCCCCATAAGGCTGACAGGGAGGTGTGTGAGGAAGGGCGGCATTGGCTCCTCGTTGGCTATCAAGTTTAAGAGCTGAAGCTGGCTATTCGACAAACAACTTGGAGTGGAGGGCAGCTCCGTTACTCCTGTTTGACAGATTCCAAATGACGAGGACGTGGGCATGGGCATGGGCACAGGCAGGGGGCCTTCGAGATGCAATGAGACACAACCAACTCGTTACGAGGTGTCAACATTAACCGGTCGAGTCATGTTTCCAACCTCCAGTCGCATTGACTTGCGCCTTGCGAATATTTAGGCATTAATTTACCTGATAATGTGTTGGCTGAAAATAAGCAGTAGCCTGCACGTTTCGCAAGATGACGGAGAGAGTTCCGCCCTGTGGATTGATTGATTGACTACCACCGACGCTATTCAAATCGGCTAACGACTTTATCTTAGCATGTCTGTGAATGTATGCAGACGCTTAGGCCATGGCTGTTTTTTTTATAATGGCTAGTTATACACAAAACAGCCATAGCTGCAATGTGCACAGCACTTTTGCTTACAACGCTTTCGGCCTCATTATCCCAGTCTTTGCTCACTCACGCTCGCTTAGGTCAGCGGGGCTATCGAGGTCGTTTGGCCAGCCACAGCTGGAATTACTGAGCAGTACGAATGACGCTGCAGCATACCCCTATGAAGGAAAGGGGGGTTACATATGCTGTCACTCGAGTACGAGCCCAGGAGACCGGGGTATCAAATATACTTGTAGGGGTTCATGATGCCATTCTGGGTCAGGTGTCAGCCCTAATGCCGGGGAATTGTAACAGAGGGTTGAGGTGAAAATAGAGTTCCACGACGCAGCATTCGATGGATGGGGGTTTACCCAAGCTTGAAAGATGGACGGAGCAAGGGGAGCAAACTCACGGGATCAAAGAGATTCTTGATCTGCTTCATCAGACCAATCGTTGTGTCGTCTCGGCTGTAACCGATAAACTTCTTTTTCGCAATTCCCAGACCATGCTCAGCACTGATACTTCCACTACGCTTCTGAATCCATTCGTATACCCAAGGTTCCAGGGCCTTCTCAACTGCAGGATCGTAACGACGCACCGGAATGTTGAGGTGCAGATTGGAATCGCCCATATGGCCATAGCCAAGTACGTCAACAACCGGGTGGTCAGGAGTGTCACCCAGAAGACCCAGATCGATCAGACGAGCCTTGGTATCTTCAACAATGGTATACATTTCGTCGAGGGGAATAGAGATATCATACTTGTAGGTGCCGCCCCAATGGCCAAGGCACTCGGTGATGCCCTCGCGCCAGCCCCACAGGTTGCGAAGCTGCGTCTCGTCCTGGGCGACGACACCGTCGGCAATAACCTCTCGGGTCATAACATCCTCCAGGAAAGTCTCTAGTTTTGCGTAGTCATGCTCGCCGTTGGAACCACTCGTTTCAATCAGGCAGTAGAAAGGGTATTCTCCTTCGAGGGGATGCTCCTGACCCTTAACCTCTGAGACGATTCTCTGGCTGCGGCCGTCCATTAGCTCAAATGCAGATAGAATTTCTGATAGCTGTTTCTTAGCCTCACGGAAGGCAAGCTGAGCTTTATCATACGACTCTATGCCAAACACAGCAACATTGACAGCGGGAGATCGCTGGGGACATTGAATAGCGATCTTTGTGATAATTCCCAAAGTTCCCTCTGCACCAATGAAGAGCTGCTTCACATCGTAGCCGGTGTTGTTCTTTCGCAGGGTACATAGGTCATTGATGATGGTACCATTAGGCAGAACAGCCTCAACACCGAGGACGGTGCCATGTAAGCTCCCATAACGGAGCAATCGCAGACCGCCAGCATTTGTGGCGACGTTTCCACCGACGTGGCACGAGCCCTTGGCGCCGAGGTCGAGAGGAAAGATATAACCCTTTTGGGCAAGGTATGAGTCGACAGTCTCGAGCACACAGCCGGCGTCAATAACAAGTGAACCACTGACTTCGTCGAATGAACGAATCTCGTTCATGCGAGCCATGCTAATGACGATCTCGTCGAAAACGGGAATGGAGCCTCCCACAAGGCCTGTGTTTCCTCCCTGGGGTACCACGGCCAAATGCTGTTCATTGCAGTACTTGAGGATGCCGCTAACTTCGTCAGTGGTGCCTGGACGCAGCACCAACTTCGACTGGCCCTTGTACTTGTGCATCCAGTCTTCATTATACGTTTCAAAGTCGGCCGCATCGACGCCTGCTCCACCGCCCGTGATTCCGTCAATGATGGCCGAGGGGTTGTCACCCAAGATCTCACGGAACGTCGCAACGTGCTCGGGGGTCACCTGGGCGAACCGGGCATCACGCTCGAGTTGCGGGTACGTCTCGGATGTCAGCTTGCTTTGCTGTACCCGAGTTTGGGAGATGAGCCTCGGGGCGGTAGTCGCGATGCATCGGGCGGGCGTTCTTGAGTGTGCAAGGCTTCTCTCGAGGATGTTGGTCCGTAGAGAAACAGTCCTCCGGCCACCGGAGCTGGAGGCGGATCCTCTCAAGGCACGGAGGAGCTGTGAACGACACGACATGCTGGGAAAATCAACCCCGGATCGAATGGACCGTGCAGGTCTTGAAGCCGGTATACCAATTGTCTACCTAGAGACAGAATTATAAGAAAGGAAGAGAATCTGAAGCCGTAGTCCGGATATTTTATCTACCTGTTACGCAAGGCTAAGAAACTGCGGAGCCCACCTTTCATGCAATCCCGCCGGCTATAGATGCATTAGTACCTAGGCTAGGTAGGTAAGGTAGGTATCTAACTGAACAAAGGCCGGCAACCTCTTCGCCCGTCTAGAAGACGGATACAGTTGCCGCCACCTTCCGGCATCGCCCTTTTTGATGCCTAGAAATTTGCTTTCTAAACGATCCAAAGTTTGTATGTTCAAAGACGTAAGGTAGTTAGCTAGCGGGTATCTGTTGGATTAGAATAATAAAATAATTGCGTGTACTTAGGCAATACCTTGGCTAGTTATTAGCAAGCTAAGGGATATAAATATAGAACTTCCTCTCTTTTTGAAAAAGAGGATAATAAGGAAAATATATAAATTACCTTTTTAATAATTAAGAGTTTTATTTATAATAAGAAAACTACTATAAGTATAAAAATTAAGAAGAAAAGCCTAAAGCTTACTAAAGATAATTTAAACTATAACTAATTAAACTATTAGACTTAAATCCAGTAAAAAGTAAATTAGCTAGTATAAATCCCTAAAGGTTAAGGTAAAAAATAAGGATCTATAGGTCTATATTAACCTAATAATAACTAATAAGCCTACCCTTAAGGTAATTATACCTATACCTTTTAATATATTAGTAATAGGACAGTAAAGCGCTATAGCTATATATATAGTAACTACTATAAAAGTATCTTTTTCCTTAATATAAAAATTAGCTATATAGGAAGTTTATTTATAAGTTAAGAAGCTAGGTAAAATCTATACTAAATATAAAATATAAACTTAATAAATATCTTATTTTATAAAGAAAGATTACTAAATAGTTACTATAATAAAGGTAATATATAAAATATACCTAAAGAATTATAAAGATTTAAAAAGAAAGATATTAACTATTTAAAACTAAATACTTAATATAATAAATAAAAATATTATAAGGTACTATTTTTTAAAAAAGAAT